GGTTGAGGGCGCGCGGTGGGGATGGAGGGTGGCCACGGCGGGAGAGCTGCAGGGCGGGTTGGTGGCCGGCGGCTCGGTTTGGCGGTGGTCCCACAAGCCCAGATGCAGGTTGGTGTCCACCCGAGGCCTTCAGCCATCATCTTGTGGTGCCAAGCCTTCCTCCACCCCCCCGGTCTTCCTCTTCCCCCTCCTTTTTTGGGGGGGTTTCTTTCTTCTCGTTGGGGTTTACTTTTTTTTTTTTGTTTCCAAAATTAAATGCGCTTCACCTCCTGCCCCTTCCACCCCACAGCCCTTGCCCTGTTGGAAAGGAAGTGCGAGATGCTGTTTTTGAGCAGATTTCAGATCAACAACCCAACCGCCGAGCGTGGTGAGCACCGCCCCGGGCACCGGGGAGGGCACCTGGCCACCGCCATGGCTCCTGAGGAGCTCGTTGGCTCGGCCGACTACGATTACTCACCAGTGACCAACGTGACGGGGAACTGGGAGGTCTCCTCCAGGTGGGAGGTCTTCTTCACCTCCGTCTTCATCCCCATCTTCTACTCCTTCATCTTCCTCCTCGGCCTTGTGGGGAACCTCTTCGTCATCGTGCTGATGGCCAAGAAGGGCAGGGGCAAGAGGATGGTGGACACCTTCGTGCTGAACCTGGCGGTGGCCGATGTCATCTTCGTCTGCACCTTGCCCTTCTGGGTGGCGGCAGGAGCCCGGGGGAACCGCTGGCTGCTCGGCGAAGGGCTCTGCAAGGTGAGCAGCTACGCCATTGCCGTCAACCGCTGCTCCAGCATCCTCTTCCTCACCGCCCTCAGCGTGGAGCGCTACCTGGTCATCAGGAAGATGCTGGACACCAAGATGATGGGTTCCCGGAGGCACGTCCGCGTCACCTGCGGCATCATCTGGGCAGCGTCCCTCCTCCTGGGCGCCCCGTCCCTGGCGTACCGGCGGCTGGATGGGGACGACTGCTGGGATGAAGATGGAGAGGACTTCAGCCTGGTCATGGTCTTCCTCACCTTCCTCCTGCCCTTGGGGGTCATCTCCTTCTGCTACTGCTCCATCTACTGCCGGCTCCAGCGTCATGTCCGGCTGGGCAGGGGCGTCCGGCGTTCCCACCGCGCCATCGTCACCATCGTCGCAGCCTTCCTCTGCTCCTGGTTGCCCCTCAACACCTGCAAGGTGCTGCTCTTCTTCCTCGCCAAGGGGACGCTGGTCCTGTCCCAGGGGCAGGAGGTGGCCCTGAGGTGGGTGGTGGCCGGCAGCACCTGCCTGGCCTTCGTTAACAGCTGCATCAACCCCCTCATCTACGCCCTGATGGACGGACGCTGCCGTCCCCGATGTCCCTTCGGTCCCCGTGCACCGGGGACGGGTCCCGGTGCAGCCACCCCCTCCTCCGCCACCGACTCCAGCCTCCTCTTCGGTAGCCGAATCCGGACCAGGACCCTCCCCGGCGCGGGAGTGGGCCCGAGCTCCGGCCGGCACCGGGGGTCCCACGGGGCCACCCCGGGGTGAGTCCCCCCCCCTTCCTCCCCAGCGTCCCCGGGTGCCACTGCCGGGAGATGGCCAGGTCATGGGGACGGCTGAGGGGACCCAGACCGGGACCCATGGCCGCCCCTTCTGGGCCCCACCTGCCACAGCACGAGCGGGAGGCGGCGGCGGGGCCGGATCCGGACCCTCGTCCGGAGTTCCTGCTGGTGCGGGACAGCCTGAGGAAGATGAAGCTGGTGGAGCCGGGCGCCTGGCAGACGTGAGCAGGAGGTGGCCCAGCAGAGCGGGGGGCTGCTCCCCCGAGACCCCCCCCGGTGGCACACCGGGCTCCCCCCATCCCCGGCACATCCTGGCGCTGGGAACGGCCCCGGTGCTGTCATTCTGGGACAGCTCGTGGTCGGGGACGGCCGTGGGTACCGGTGCCTCGGCGTCCCCAAAGCGGTGAGAACCAACGTGCCAGGGGCTGGAATGAGCTGGCAGAGCCGGGGCAGCGCCGGGGGCGGCGCGGGGATGTGGCGGGCAACGGTCTCACCCCAACCTGCACCTGCTCCTGCTCGCTCTGATATAAAAAAAAATATATATATATATAAGAAAATAAAGGTTTTCATCTGGTTTTCTTGATGCAAATGTGCTGGGGACGTGGATGGGGCCAGCGCCG